AGATGTAACAAGATCTTTTGTCTGCTTCCAGTTCAGGCATATCCTAGGCGCTCCTGCAGATCTTTGATGGGACCATACAGATCCAGTGTCTTCAAGACTGCTAGGGAGGCCTCCATACATTCGTCGCCCTTAGGGTTCTCAGTCAGGTTCAGCCCAGCAGAGTAGGCAGGCTCTCCACGGTTGACATCATCAAGGCGGGCTAAGGCGAGGATCTCTTCCTGCTGCTCCGGTGTGATGAAGCCACCGAACATGAAATCAAATATCGCCAGGATGTTCGCGTCGAAACTCTGCGAAGACTGGGTCAGATTCTCATACCTGGAGTTGAAAACCTCACCGACCTCACCTCGGGAATTCTCATAGATCTTTGTCATGTCTTCCATGACCTTGAACATGTTCGGGAACACCGCCTGCAAGCCCTCCTTGGGGTCCATGAACAGGATGTCCGGCCAGGGGGCCAGGAAGTCGTCCCCACGGTTGTGATAGCAGTAGCCAGCGGCGAGCATCGTAGCCGGATCACGGATGCTATGAACGGCCTTGAAGCTGACGCCTTCTGCATGAGCATGCGCCCGGTCCTTCTCCAGCTGCTTATACGTGAGCTGGTGATGCCAGTGAATAGGACAGTCCCACCAGCCTGGAGTGGAGCTGCAAAGATGGCGTCCACCTTGTGAGGTAATCGCGGAACTCCCCCTCAGGAATTCGCGGCAGGAGTAATTGGCACCTAAATAATCGAAGACCCGCGTGATGATGCTTTGGTACAGCACGCTACCCGCTTGGTGGTGTGTTGCCACGAGGTAGCCATACACGTCCCACGGCTTCGTGGTACCCTCAGCATGGCGATTCAACTGCACATGAAGCGACTTCTGCAGCAAGTAAGAGTTGCTGCAGGTTACTTCATCATCCAGACAGCTCGCATCAGACTCCGGGGAGGCGGCGCCCAGACCCAGAGAAACAATAAGGTACCAGCATCGCATGGCCACGCGGAACAGGAACATACAGAGGGGTTTCGGTTGCAAGTTGCGAGCCAAGACGCTAAGGCCGCTTGCTGTGGGAGATCGATGCTACGGTAGACGAACACCCCGTACGAACTCTTGAAAATCCCTACCGCCTGCACGCTACAAGGAAAACCCAAGAACCCT